ACAACTAACAAATCCTTAAAGAGGATATCCTCTGAGAGTATTCATAAAAATAAACCTGTGGAGGTCAGTCTCCAGCTGAATCACATAAACTCCCCAAAAACAAACGGTCACAAGCTGTCACAAGCCATAGGCCACAATCATACACTAAACCTGTGACTTAAACTGAAACTAACCACCATGGTTAAACACATGACATGCAAACCTCTATGATGCATCTTTTTGGCAGTTTAGTTGCAGTGAAAGACAGTTATCATCACCTCCACTTGTTTCCTGTGGAGTTGGGTCACTGGTTTGCCACCCATCATACTCTGAGCCCAAGTCTGGACGAGTCATCCAGCTGTCCACCCAAACATGGAAGTTCCTGAGAATGAAGGACAGTAATGTGACCATTCTGCTTTATGCCAAAAAAAAGGCAACAAGAATTTGAAAAAATACAGGATGTATTGTAAGTGACTGTTGTGTTGATGTATGTGTCTATTACAAACTCACCATACCGAATCCCCTTCAGAAATTATTTCTCCATCTGTATTATACAGGTTTTCTATGATCAGGTTGGCGTCAGAATCGTGGGCTGATCCAAAGTTAGTGACCACTCGACATGGCATGCCCAGGCCTCGAAACACTGAGGGAGGAAGAACAGCGTTTCACACAACCTCATAAAAGCATATGCCTGAGATAAAAGCAAAGATTAAATACAAAGTCATCATATAATATGGAACACAAAGTTATTAAAGTTGATTCTAAATTTAGTGGTGTGGTTTAGAGACTCTCGTGCACTCCAACCTGTGCACGCAACAGCAGCGAAGACCCAACACTGGCCATAGCAGACGGGTCCACTTTCAGCCCACTGGTGCAAAATCTCCCCGCTGCCAGTCCACCTCCCTGGATGGACTCCATCAGTAATCTCTCCCCAACATCCCACCAGCACCCCCCTGTCGTCATTACTGTTGATCTGTGGGCACAGACAGGGGGGAGACACAAGGGGGAGAGGGGCCATTAAGTGGTCATTACTTATTATAGTCACAGAGAATGGGAGGGGATCACGTGTACTCCTGAACATTTTGTCATATTCTATTTCTGTATTCCTAAATTCAATATGTACAAGATTTCCTAAATTGTTCGGAATTCTTTCCTTTTAAATGTTTGACAGACCTCAGAGTCACAAAAGCTGAATACAAATATTCTCCAAAAAAACGTTTCAAAATCTGTCAAGAGCTCATTGCTCCCTCAGCCAAAGAGGTTTTTTGTGTGTTTGTTTATTTGTTGGCAGGATTGTGTGAACAATTAATCAACCAATACTACTCAACTGTGGCATGTNCTTCATCTACCTTTGCTGTCTATATTCATATTAATACGACCATCTAATGTTTAAGCCTCACATGATAAATGAGAAAATTCCAACCTTTGGGGGGTTGAACCGGGGGTTGCTTGCTGGTGATTGCAGCTGGGCCCGGGTCTGGAGAGGATGCTTGGTCACTGGTTGCATTTTGTGGCTGTGTAATGGATGTTTGATCACTGGTTGCATTTTGTGGCTGTGTAATGGATGTTTGATCACTGGTTGCATTTTGTGGCTGTGTAATGGATGTTTGATCACTGGTTGGAATTTTTGCTTGTGTAATGGATGTTTGATTGCTGGCCATGGTGGGGGCATCAGTGGCTGCAGGAAGGAGAGCACAATGGAGGTCACCTTCACATGCAAACACTTTACTTCCAACAGTCTTTCCTGATATGATGCTTAACTTCAGTGGCTGAGACGTCCCAAACAAACGTGTTTTCACATCTCTGCATTACATTAACGCTCAGCTATACCTGCATATTGGAAATACTCTGGATACTGTGAACACTTGCACATTGTACTACTTAGCTGTACTGCTCTTCTTATTTTTCTTTTTTTATATATTGTAATTTTCTTTTACCGACTCCTGATTTTTATATTTTTACCAATATTGTGTATTTCTATTTGTAGTTATTGTCTAGATAATGACAAAAATAACCCAGGGGGCAAAAAAAAAAAAAAATTTCTGGAACATTTCAACATTTTCCCAGATTTCCAAAACAATAACTCATGGATCATGATAAAAAGAAATCTGCCATATTAAGGGGCCAGTATCTGTGAGTGTGGGACATTTGGTGCAGCTTGACTGAATGTAAGGGGACTGTTGGGCCTTGGCAGAGGTGTGTGCCTTACTGAGTGCCATTCTTGGATCAGATATTTTTTGTCATATAAACTTCACACAGTGGTGCCTGAGACTGATTGGTTCTATGGTTACAGCTACTGAATCATGACACCCAGTACAAACAGCTTTGTATTTTAATCTGCCACCTGCTTGGAATGTTAAAAACTCTCTTTATTTGCTGCAGCTTTGTATCACAAAGGTTTCCCGGGGGAGACGGGATGGTTTCAAAAGGAGAGAGGCCCTGATCCTGAGAAAGAGACAGAGTTCTCTGCTTCACCATGGTGACCGTCGTCTGCACAGCTAAAATAAAGGCTTCACAGGCTGGTTCAAAGACATCCATAGTGTTTCAACTCTTACCAAGGTCTGGACACTTACCATGGCACTCAGCACCCTGCTCACGTAAATGGGATTTCTCCTAGCTGAGACGTCCTTGTCAGCGTCAGAAACAAATTTGGGGTTTTCATCCAGGATCTTCAGACAAACATCCAGTATTCCTGCTTCAAACTGCAGAAAATGGATACTAGTGAGCATCAAACAAAGATTTGAGTGATTTTATATTTTTATTTGGTCAATAACACTGTCATTTTATGTATCATTTGGAGTAAAGAAGAATTTTCAATGGATATTTGATTGTGTTTTATTAAAAGAAGGTAACATTTAACCTTTAGTGTACCTGTCCGAAGTTCCAGGGTTTCCCTCTAATGCGTCTGTCTGTTCCCCTGTAGATCTGCCCATGCTGCGCTAAGACATACTCCTGCCTCTTGGTCTCACTGTGCATGTACACAGCATCTCCTGTAAATCAGCACAAACTCATTCAGAACAGCATGATCGCATAGTATCAGTGTTTAGATGTGTTACTACTTCTGAGCTATAGGCTTTTGAAAATCAATAGGTCTTATTTCTACATTATGTATGGGAGTGATGTGCAAACAGGATTTTTACAATAATGAAAGCTGCAGGAGCAACACAATGTTGAAGACAAATCATTATGCACTCACTGGAGCACCAGGCGTTAAAAAGCAGGGTGAACTGTCCCAAACTCGTCCTCTGTCCTCCCTGGTCCAGAGTCAGAGAATAAAGTCCTATGGGACTATTGGGGGAGGAATTGATGGACACAGACACTGTGTTTCCAGATGGATCTTTCATAGCAGACGCGCTCCATTCATCGTCCACTGTGGAGTCACGGAGACTGAACGTGACCTCGGTGCCTGATTCTTTGCTAGGCAACGGACCTGGAGACACACAAACAGTAAATCTGACAAAAATAATACCAACACAATTACAAAAGCAGTTTTTTTGAAATGTCCAATATTACTATTCATGTCCAAGTCTAGTATGTTTAGCATTATATTATGTTCGATATCAAATGCAATATCACTTCCATATTACTTTCTCCTATTATCACTGCTGTTACTCCTTTCTATTGCAACTTTAGAATTAGTTTGCTATCTCTCAACTTTTCACTTACAAATAAAGTCTAATTTATATTATCTTGTCTCAAATCTACGTCCAGATGAGCGACACACATGCAAATCCACTGCAGCAGCTCTCATGCACGCACACGCACTCTCCCCAAATGTTTCTGTCTCACACACAAATAGACCTAATCACAGGGAGACAAGAGGCACCTGTTTCAACAATGAGTGTGAAGCTTGTGTCACTCAGTTTGAAGTCTTTGCTGCCAGGTTTCAGATGAAAAGTGACGACGAAGGGCTGACCCCTCCTGACAATCAAACGCTCCTCTTCATACAGCTCCGTATGATGGCTGCTGCTGTTGCTCTTAATGTTCAGATCACAGCGCTCAATGTCCAAGACTGTGGAGAGAGACAAAACCTTTACATTTTAAAAAATCTCATCTGCAGCAATGTGGACACATGAAAAAAAGTTCCTTTAAACCGAATCAGAAGGTCTTAATCAAACGATGAAGCACCAGAAATCATCAAGACAGATTGAGTGTTACTCACTGATCTTAATCCAACATATGATAAATCAACAGAAATCATCAAGACAGATTGAGTGTTACTCACTGATCTTGATCTAACTTATCTAATATCATCCACCATTCCTGCTCATCACATTTCACACACCACTCACAATCTGATACTTATAAAAATCTACAGACTCCGAAGTAAGACAGAGAAAACTGCATCTCACATTCAATACAATTCACTAAAGACATGCAAACTACTACAATATGAGACAGAAATATATATTTTTTCTTTCCTTACCTTGACTCATGTCTGCAGGAGAGTCCTTCTCTCTTGGCTTCTGGAAAGTGACACTTCAGCTTCAGCATGTGCTTGTTGGCCGACGACCGTGCAGTATAACAACCCCTGAGGGATATTTGTAGCATGTGAAACCGGATCGGAGACGCCCCCATCTGTCTGGTCGTCACATAACTAATTCTGTTTTTAGTCAGGGCTTACAGAGACACACGCCCCTTCCTCTTTATTCTCCTATTTGTCTGCAGCTTTTAGGGCAACTGTGAAAAATTTCTGCTGAATTACTCACAACTAACCAAAATTATTCATTTGTCAGCTACTAAACAGTCACTGTTAAATTTCTTTTTGTTAAATAACTGCTGCTTTTTTGTGTTTGGAATGTTTTGTGTATTTTCTGCAGACCTCAATGTGATTCCAAGTTAAAATAAAGGTTGAATGAATGAATGAATCTAAATAATAGACACAACGCCATTCTTTACAGCAAACTATTTCCTATAAATAAAAATAAAACAACCACCACAAGATTTGTTTAACATGGATTATTTATGCCATGCATTATTGTATGATTTAACTTAAACAAAGTGTGGCACTTTACAATGAGTCATTACTGATTACATTTTATTATGCAAAACAGGAACATGTCCAACTGTGAAAACCTGTTTCTTGTTTCAATATGTTAAATTTTTTTGAAAGCCACAAAACTGCTTCACACATTGTTATTACTGGAGGATGTTGTGAAATAGGTCATCAAAACTGCACCACGACTATGCAGATCAAAAGAAAATCAATACAAAATGTATTCAGTAAAAATACTGAAAAGAAGAAAACACAAAAAGCAAAGAAAGAATAAAAAAGAAACAGATTGCCGTTTTGGGCAGTGGTGTTTGTGCCAAAGTAAAACCTGCAACGTGGCAATTAAGAGTTTTGAAACAAGTGTCTGTAACTGTCTGCCGAATTATTCTATGGAATGAGGAAGTGAAGCATCATCACATTGGTGCCATATCCTCATGCAGTCCGTCACATCACCTCCAGAAAGGCAGTGCAGAGTTTAGAGGAAGAAACCAAACAAAACCAAATGTTCTCTAAATTCCACTAAAACAATCCAACAGAAGAAAGAAAGAAAGAAAAAAGAACTGCACCGACTCCACATTTGAGTCATGATATAATTTACACATTGATGAAGGAAAGAAACAGAAGAAGTTGGAAGTTGAGAAAGTTACAGAGAACAGAAAACACATGGATCTTCCAGGTCATTAAAAGTCAGTGGTTTTTAAGAAAATAAATAAAAGTCGACAATGTGACCATGAAAGATCCATATGAGGGGCCATCAGGGACATTATTCAGAATTACCTCTCACACACACATGAAATGCTCTTACATACACTACTGAAACACTCTCACATTAACAACTGAAAATGATTTGCTCACATACATTACTGAAATGCTCTTATATAATATAAAATATATAATATATATAACATATTTCACTATAATGTGTGAGAGGATTTCAGTTAAAAAGGAAGGTGTTTCAATAAAACTAAAAGGTCTTCAGTTCAACTAAAATATGCAATTCAAAGCGCGATTCACGTGTTGATCGTCAGCCATGTTGTTCGCAACACTAATGACATCACACAATGACATCACACAATGACAGGAACGCCTTCCCGTTTAACTGTAATTTTCGTATTCACTACTGAACTGTTATAGTTTACAATTCTATATCAGAACATTTCAGCTGTGTATATGAGCACATTTTACTAGTATGAGGTAAAGCTTTTTAGTAGTTTATGCAAAACGTTGTGTGTGTAATAGAGCATTTCACTTGTATGTATGAGATCATTTCAGTAGTGTGTGTGAGAGTGTTTCAGTAGTGTGTGTGAGAGTGTTTCAGTAGTGTGTGTGAGATCATTTCAGTAGTGTATGTGAGAGGTCACTCTGAATAATGTCCCTGACGACCCCTCATAGATCCAGTCATCATTTGCATACTGTACATAACAAAAATGATGCTTTCCATCAATAACATGTTAAATAATAACAACAACAAACAAAATACAATAAAAAGTATTTAAATAATCAAAGAAACACCTTTTCTGTAATGGTCATTTTCAGGTGGGTGGAACATCGATGAGTATGGAACCATTAGTGGACCCTAAATAACAGGAAGTGGTTCTGGCCTTCAAGCATACAGTCATATGTTTTAAGTTAATATGGCGTTGTTGTGCTGCTTCTTTGATGGAGAGAATGAATTACTGAAATAGTTCAAATCCAGATGTGAAAGCACATGAGCCAGTGGTCTGTCCGTCCTGATAAACGATCAAATATAGAACAAATGTGAGAAACAAATGGCTCAAAAGTAGAAAAATCTTCACATATGAACTAATAGTCATTCATTTTTAAACCATTCAAGTTATTTTCCATATTGTACACTTGTTTCTCCATTCTTGCAGTCTGGGTCTGCAGCCAGTCCTGGGCTCGTGACCACTCTGGTCATGAACTGTTCCTCAGTTTCCCTTGTGATCTTGTAAACAAAACATTTATAGTCCAGCTAATCCAAATGCTTCTCTTTAGCAAAACTTTGCCTGCAGGTAAATCAAATGAAAAGTAGCACAGCAGCACAAAGAGAGACTTCACATTAGTCTCAGAACTAAAGTGCAGCTTGCTCTCAAATACAGAAGCTATAGCTCTGTCTTCCACACAAGCTACTGATCACCATGACAACCGCCTCTCACTGCTTTATACTAATTGTACAGACTATAGAGTACAAAAGACCCAGCAACATACCTTGTCCACAAACTATATCGTTCTGTGTTATCGTAGCATGACACAGACCTGATACTCATGTATGTATATGCAGAACATGTTTCATGCTAAACAACAGTATAGTTAGAAAACATGTGACAGGTAACCATATAAAAACACATGGTTAGTTCACTGAGCACAATATGACTAAAACAGGTTCCTATGCTCAGTATGTCAATAAACTATGTCCTTCATGACGGGTTTAATCCACTGAAGCTGTAGCAACTGATGCTTCTTTCAATATTAAAATAAAAAAACATGGCTGGGGATGAAAATAATTCTGCTGCAGCAAAGAACCAAGACACATATTCTGTGAATATTGGTTAAGATTGTATGTGATAGCATGCAAACCAGAACATGTGACCACACAAAGCTTTGTCTCATGACTGTGGCCACACAATGTGTTACCCACTCCTTTGGTTTAATTGTTTGTTTGTCTGCAGGATTACACAAAAATTACTGAGTGGATTTCCATAAAACGTGATGGAAGGACGGGACGTGGACCAACTTTGTGTGGGACCAAGAATTTTTTTCCTCATTTTCTTTACCATTGCAAAATAGGATACTAGCAGAGGTACATGCTCTGAGCGCCCCTCTAGTTCCCTTAGAAGGGCGACCAGAAGATTTGCTGGACTGAATGGCTCCGGCTCCAGCTGACCAAAAATCTGCAACAATGTTTAAAGCACAAATTGTTCACTGATAATAATAGAAATGATAATTATAATAATAAT